ATATATATATATATATATATATATAAATATATATATATATATATTTTATATATATATATATATATATATATATATATATATATATATATATATATATATATATATATATATATATATATATATATATATATATATATATATATTTATTATATATATATATATATATATATATATATATATATATATTATAAACTAACAGATTTAAAAATATGTTAATCTATAATAAATTGTAATAAATGTGTTAATTTATAATAAATTAGCAGATTTAAAATCTGTTAATTTTATAATATCTATGCTCTGTAAATTTACATTTGTTTTGTAAAAATAAAAATATCAATAAGAACGCCGGATTATATATCTTACTGTGCTTTTTTTTATTATAATATATATATATATATATATATATATATATATATATATATATATATATATATATAAGCATTTCACCCCAAGCAAGACTAGAGTGAGCGACTAGCACGCAGGAGTTACAGAGAGCGAAAAGTGAGAGAAATGACTTTTTTATAGAGTAGAATGAGGAAAGGATAAAGAAAAACGGGCATCTAGGAAACAAAAGATGGCGATTGACGTTGCATTTAGATTTTTTGAAGATTGTATTTATCACGGAAGCCAGCAAGAAGAAGGGAGTTCCACTGTCGGAAAGCGCGAGAAAAGCGTCGCGATGTCAAGTCAGGACAGATTACATTGACGATCCTTCCTTGGACTTTGTAGGCTGGATATGGCAACAATATTCAATGCATGGACGAATGGTAGATTTTTAGATGTGTTACATGCATTCTGACGAGACCAAATCTTCGGTCACAACACACTGAGTCGACTTTCTTGCATAAGATGCAGCTATTGATTCAATGTAGTTTTTCCACCTCAGATCATTAGAAAACATGAGGCCAAGGAAGCATACTAGGACGCTCTCACGGGGTCCAGCATCAGCCATACTGTTGGGGACAGTTAAGTTTCCCTGTGGCGGTTAATTGAGAGCAGTTTCGTTTTGAAGGCATTAAAGTTAACAAGCCATTTACTGCCCCAGTTAACCATTAATTGGAGATTGTTTTCAAGAGAAGCGACCTGGATAACTCTGTCAGCGTTGCCGGATTTATTATTGAGACAGGAGTAAATGTTAGTGTTAGCACAGAGGCTAACTTGAGAACAGATGACATCAGGGAGATCACATATGAAGATCATAAACAGTGTAGGACCCAGGATAGAGCTTTTGGGGAACTCCTGAGTTTGTATGGAATGAATTGGAAGAGTACCCGTTCAGGACGACCTTTATTTTACGATTTGATACGAATGATTGGATTGAGCCAAATAATCGTCCTGTAATACCTTAAAACTGAAGTGATCGTGAAAAACAGCATGAAAAAGGCCTTCGAGATATCTAGAGCCACAGCTCAAGCTTTGCCGTTATTATTATGAAGAGCTTGATACACATATTAAATATGGCTGTAAACACATGAGCGGTAGACCGGGTAAAACGAGATGCATATTGTTTGCAAGAGAATAGAATGTGAGAGTTAAGATGCTTAACCCCTTCGGCATTGATAAAGCCTCGAAGATTTTGTCGATAAGCGGTAGGAGACAGATAGGGCGGCAGTTATAGGGATCAGAAGATTCTCCAGAGTTCTTAAACACAGGGGCGACAGAAGGACTTCCAACAGGCTGGAAAGCATGAAGCACGGAGACAATAAGTGTATAGTTTGGAGAGAACAGGAGGTAGCTCAGGAACTCATTTCTTTAGGACGATGGCTGGTATCCCGACCCCACTACTTGCCTTATTCAGTAGATCTAGGAGGAAGTCGGGTGTGGACACACCGGATGAGTTGAGTTGGATGAGAATGTCAGAGCAAAGCATTCACCCTTATCTGCTGTAGATGTAAGGACTTGGAATTGATTTTAATATCTCACGCAAACCCTGTTCTGCCATCAATTTACAAAACGTTATTTGGAAGGTTATACGCTGTTTTCCACTCTCCCGTTTGTCTTCAGTATGTCATGGGAGTGTCAAATTTCCCAAGCCCTCTTTCCTCATTATATATCTTTCTCTTTCTGGTGTTAAATATAAAATATCCTTTTTGTTTCTATTTCCTCGAAAACATTCTCGTTGCTCATATGTCACATATTATTTCTATTCTATCTATCTATCTATCTATCTATCTATCTATCTATCTCCATCAGTTTAATTATAATTAACTAAACACATTGATTTTTCTTTACTACTATATATTTATATAAAAGATGCTAACACAACTTCAGTAGACATAATTTTGCCTAGTACAAGAAAAGATAGTCTCTTGAGCATCGAACCCATTATCTGTAGTTTATATACGAAAATTCAGATGATCACTCTATAGTAGGCGTCTAACACGTGCTCAGTTATATTTTACACCTAGATTAATCAAGTCCAAAAGTGTTAGGCATCCAGTAAGGATTGAATAGATTTAATCGCAAAATGCCTTCGCCACACTGATATAAGACTTGGGGACTTCAGAAGATTCAATTAAAAACTGTCCTGCTACATCGTTTAAGAATATTTCAATAAAATGCACTTCATGTAACCACTGTTATCAATCTCACAACATGAAATTTACGCGCATTAAACATAATGTGAACAATAGTAAATCTAATATAAGGGACATTCTCGGGGCGCCTCTTGAAGTCAGCGCCATTTTGAAGCTTCGAATAATTTGAAACAAGAATAGTGAAAAAAAAGAAGGCATTTTCTTCAGATTAATCATCTGTATTTGATTATGATGGGTGACAAGCCGAAGGTCGCTAGATTGTTAAATTATAAATTATTCTACATGGTCAATGCTGTCTGCGTGCTTTTGATTTAACTGAGTAAAGATAAAGAAAAAAAGTTAAAATAAATTCTTATTTTGATCATATCAAAAGCGATTTACATCTCAGATGCAGTTGGAATTTTTAAGTTAAATGCAATAAGTTTTTAACTGAAACATTAACTAGCTTGCCTTGTATTTTTGAGCTGATATCATATAAAATATAATATATCATTGTCTCAGATGTTTGGCAAGGAGCGCATTTTAATTGCTTGCCATAGGCGCTATATGCCAGAGATACGTCCCCTAAGCTGACATTTTTTCAGATTAAATTTGCCCATGTTGTTCTTATCTATCAACTTAGCGTGACACGATGGCATTGATGCTTTGTGGTTAGATAGCTGACAGGAATAAATAATCTCCGTTCTGTCCTTAGAGATTAAGAGCAAAAATAAAATTGACATTAACATCGCCAACTTCCGGTCCTTTGTCACTGGAAGTCAATAATACGACGCTTGATAAAATATTCTCGGCGCGCTTAAATAAAACTATGTATATTTCAATTATTTAACACCAAACAGTTTGCTGGGGATGGTAAAGAAACTTGAGAAACAATGGGCTAAGTTGGACTTGAAGATGTGAGATAGCATGTATATTTAATGGACCAAGATGTCTGGGCAATGTTTTAACAGAGAATAGAAAATATGACACTGAAATGCGAGGGCGCATTGGAATAAGCAAAAGATGCCTTCTAAAAGTTAAGCTAAGTACAAGTAAACAGGAAAATGTCAGCAAAAACAAAGAAAGAATAGATAAACTGGTATGTTATACCAATCCTCTTATATATTACTGGATGCTAGACAATTTCCTTACTGATGAAGAGAAGACTTGAGGCAACGGAAATATGATGGTATGGTGAGAATACTATGAACGTAAGAAACGAAAAGGTTTTAAGAAAAATGTAAACAAAAAAGAAAAATTATAGCCAGAATCATAAACGAAAAAAGACATAGTCAGAATTAGAAGCAGCTGAAGTTTCTAAGACATAATGAGGAAGTTGGGTTTGAAGAATTTGGAACTCATGGGATATATCGAAGGCAAAAAGGGAAGAATGGACGGTACCTACCTGACGACCTTTTGCGAATGGATGGCAGAACGAGAGTTGGAGTGGAAGGCAAAAAGAAACAAGAGCTACAAGTAAAAGGAAGTTTTGGAGAGCCATAATCGCACGCATCTTAAAGATAGACACAAAAGTTTATTTTTCTTGAGTTGAGTACAACAGATTGAAGACTTGCATCCTTGGAACCGTCCCCTGAGGACAATATCTGTTGATTGCTTCTGTGGTAATAGGGTGCAGGAACTGGCAACTTCTAGAGACGGTCTTGAATCGGATGAGGGTGTACCTCAAACGAAAAAAAAGACCATTTATTGTAACTTTTATAGATTGCTGTCATATAAATCGCAGACATGAAACAAATTGCTAATAATCATTAATAGTATTTTTAGCAATAAAAATTTGTTTAAAGAAAATATGCCATTTGTCTGCAACACATTCTTCCATATTGGGGTTTCCCGTACAAATGGGCAACGTAAGGACGTACAGTCCGGGAAACACATCACATTTAACATTTTCATTAAATACAAAAACCGTAATTTGTACTGTTTAAAAACGTTAAGAATTAAATATATATATATATATATATATATATATATATATATATATATATATATATATATATATATTATATTTGTTTTTACTCAAATACGTATATACTGAAATATAATGTTTAAAGTAAGGTAAATTCTGTTGGATCAAAAATAAGATCCAATAATTCTGTAGAAATATCTCTCTTTAATCACTAATCTACAAATCACTCGATGAATGTTATGATACTTGTTTTTTTTTTTTAAATTATAAACTGTATAAGGTCTTTCTTTAATACGCAAGTACTTTCGACTGTACATTCAGTCATCCTCAGGCATGTAATTATTTTATTTTTGGTAAAATTCAGGTAGCATCCGAGACGAAAAAAAATACAGTTTATAATTTTTAAAAACAAGGACCATAACATTCATCAAGTGATTTGTAGGTCAATGCCCCTTTAAGATTTTGTTAGCGAAGGGATTTCCCCATTTTATATCATTAACTTAAACTAATCTACTTTTTTATATGAATGATTCATTGTAATATAAATTGAACTGCACCACATATTTGATAGATAGATAGATAGATAGATAGATAGATAGATAGATAGATATGAAATCTACATTAGCCGGCTTACGGTCATATACGTTTAGACACCGATTCTCTTAAGATCACCCATCAGAACCTGGATAGATTCCGCTTGAGAATTCCAGGGACTGTAAGCTTCGAATTGGCGCAATTAATAACTGTTTGGAACAGGAAATCTTTGAACCGTGTTAGTCATATATTCATTTTTCATCTATACGCAAATATTCTTGGGAATGGTAGGAATGAACCTCTTCTCCCGCAGCTGTGGATCAATTAATAGGAAAATTATTATTATTTTCTAAAATATTTTTACATTCTTAAACGTTATATCTGGATTTACATAACAGGCTAAAGGTTGATAGCCGTATAAAAGTCAATCAATCTGCATTTTCCCCCACCGAAAATTATTTTGCTTTACTTTGAAAGTGTTATTTTGCTTTACTTTGAAAGTGTTATTTTTGGGGATTCATAACACTTTCAAAGTAAAGCAAAATAACACTTTCAAAGTAAAGCAAAATAACACTTTCAAAGTAAAGCAAAATAACACTTTCAAAGTAAAGCAAAATAACACTTTCAAAGTAAAGCAAAATAACAGCATCTGTTTCTAGCCATTTTTTACAAAGAAAATTAGTGACATCCTCTTCTTTCTTAACTTCCTTCCCTCTTTTTCTCTCTATGGGTTTTTTCCTCTCTACTCCTTTGATATCAATATATAACTTCCATTAAGTTAACCGTTTAAATGTGTCAATATCTGCTAACTCACTGATGTCTTCTCTCTCCCCCCTCACTTCCTCACTTCGTTAATTTACATATGTTTAATACGGCCCGTCAAAAATGTGTAAATTTCTTTTCATTTTTTGTTTGGAAGTAAAGTCTGATGATCCGCAGTCTTTTTAAAAGGGCTGTGGTGAAATAATTTATTACATGGCACCTTAAAGTGGTCTGTTTTTATTTAAATTATTTGCTCTGAATTTACATTGAGCTCTCTGGATTTTATCCTCCTTAGGTTTACCCATACGGATTACCTAGCTTTTCATAAACTATATATATATATATATATATATATATATATATATATATATATATATATATATATATATATATATATATATGTCACAACAAAATATAAATAACAGTTGTACATAACAAAAAATAAAAAAACATACTAAAAATTTGATGCATTTTTACACCAACCCTGTTTTCATTGAAAACCGTGCTTGCACTTTTTGCACTAATTTTTACACAATACGAGGCCAATATTCACTCAATATATTGAGGATTACTATTAAGAAAAGGCAAGAAGTGAAGTTCATAAGGTTATACAGGAAAGATAACTTTTAACCCTAAACTTCAAAGTGTCAAGATTGTAGTTATTGAGAAAACAGTCCGCCGGGTGTCTCTTCACCAAAGCAGCAGTTCCCGGAAAGAAGATGTCTGAGTGGAATTTACTTCACCCTGAATACGAAGGGAAGAAAGAGGATGTTTCACGCATGTCGAAGTGGCTTGGTGAGTCTCAGTTGGAAAGATCAGAGCTGGTGGGACTAGATGCATTTAATCACTGCTCAATACAACCTGACAATCCATCTATTGCTTTCAGTTTGTCATGAATTCTTATTCTTACTATGTACAGCACCCCTTCAGCGATCATGACTCTCCGTATTTTCTTTTTCTTTGTAGCTCTTATTAACGTCCGTCCTTTTTCTATCCCAGTCCCTGTTCTGCCATCAATGTGCACATGCTTGTTAGGTAGGTTAATCACTGTTTCTCTTCTGCACCTCTTGCCTTCAATAAGTCCTGTTGATGTAATATACTCCAAACCGTCTTTTCATACTCTATGTATGAGATGAAGCATTGTCATTATTAATTTTACACGAGTATCCTGTGTATTTTTCTCTTTGTTGCTGAAATTGTATTTTTCTTACTTATTTTTTTTTTATCTCAACCCCTGTAAAAAGAAAATTATCAACAGGTGTATTCCACGTTTTAATCATATAGATACTCTCTTTATTTATCCAATATTTACTCTACCACATTCTGATTTTTTAATATAGTTTGAAGACCCCGTAAGATGAGTTGAACAATTTCAAATTTTAAAATATTTTATTGATTATTATTCTATTCATTCTGTTTATTGAACTATCGACACAGCCATTGTGATAAAACGCAACACAAATTTTAAAAAGTGAAGGAAAATGATTAGAGTGAACGTAACTATCTCACCCAGTAAAAATATTTCCTGAATAACATATTTAAATGCAAATTGCGGCAATGTTGGCGCTAACAAATCTTCAATATTCATTGTTAGATTTAACTGTGTTCAATATATATTTCTGAACGCGTTCGTATCCATTAGGCAGAAATTGATTTTTGCTTAATGAGCTCTGGGGTGATCTGTTAAATCTAATCTGTTGTAAATATCGCGTGGGGAATTGGAATTTGCTATAAAGTCTTCTTTACTACAAACCCGATTATGATCTTGCCATCGTTACGAATGCTATAGCTTCGACGAAGAGGCAGCGACCTGACTTTCATATCAATTTGACGCCATTCTAAGCGCTAAAATAATGCTTGGCTTCCTAGTTTTCATCTCTGTTTTCATCCACGAGAAAATGCGGGGGGGGCGTTTTTTGGGTTGATCAGAAATTCTTTCAAAAACAAAATTTGACGATTGATCATTTGGTCAAATTTTGGCAACTGGCTTGGCGCCAAGAATTTTGTTACCCATTGTATTTTTGTAGGTAGCTGATCATTTTAATCAGTCTTTTTATCTATCTGACTGAATAGATAGTAAGAAAAATAAATCAAATGCTCACTTGTCTGCTCCTAATCTGCGGAGATTACATCCAATCGTAAGTGAGAATCATTGTATCAAGTCCCCTGACGAATGGATGTAGGCTCAGCAAAACTCAAGGATAGATAAGTGAACAATTAATTTTGTTTGTTAATATTAATTAACTATTTCGTGATATTCAGCTTTATAAATACGAATACTGCTGGAATTAAAAAGAATTATCTTCCAGAAGTACCCTGTTGGACCGTTTTCTGTTTTCCTTTCTTGGGTGAAATGCTGTTGATATTGTTATCTAACTAGCGTTTCATATAATCTACATATTAACAAAGATAACCCTCTGGATTTAAGTTCGATTGGATATAAAACCTAAAAGCAATCTCTATTAAAATGATGAATCGTCATTAAAACCTACTTCCAATCAATATGTTATTCTTACACGTATTTTCTTAAATTTGTTTTTGAATCATTTCGCCCCTAGTCAGGCAATAAAGCCACCAAGACACAAGGGTACTACTGAATGTGAAAGAATATAAGAAAAAGAAATAAGCAGAGGGGAACAATAAAACAATAATGAAATAATAAACAAAAGATGATTGACATTGCATCTAATTTTTAAAGATCAAACTAGACTGAAAAGCAAGACACTGGAATAGAATGCCTCAAGCGAAAAATGAAGAAAATATCAGCGTAGAACTTACGGTGACATCGAGCCATGCAGAGGTTCAAATGTTGAGACCTAGCTGCCAATCTAGTACTGAGTTTAAGTCCATAAAATCCAAGTCTTAAAAGGAGAAATATAACAGAACAATTACCATGGAAATATTTATAGAAAATGCACAAGAAAGTTTAACTATGGCGGTGGGAAACGGACTGAAGATGAGATGCCTGGTCAAGACCAATAACATTGCAGATTCTTATTTATCAAGAAATACATAGCAGAAATCACAGACCAGATGTGACAGCAATATTCAATGCGTGGACAAGTGGTAGATTTCTAAATGCGTAAAATAGATTCTATCGAGAAGAATTGTCTAGCAAGAGACAGTGAATAAACTCACCTAGCAACAGACCTGGCAATTATTTCAATATAATCTTTCTATTTCCAGACGATTAAAACATAAGTTATTTTTAAGCATTGTAATCATTAGACCGTACGTTTGCATACTTGTAAAACCGGCAATACCTCTTTGGTGTAATTCTCTGTCAATAATTTGCCATATTTCAGAAAAGTAAAAATTCAGGTATCCAGCCAGCGGGTCCACAGAAATATAGATTCGAGAGATAGCTATACATTATTAAGAGAGACGAAAAGAGAGAGCTTCAGCCGCGAAGTATGCAAGTATATAAATACATATATTTTCAAGGCTTCCTAATATATTCTATATCTATGTATATAAGTATCAATGTATGTACTTTATCTATCAATCTATCTATCTATCTATCTATCTATCTTCAGTCTTTTCATGATCTATCTATCTATCTATCTATCTATCTATCTATCTATCTATGTATTTATATATCTATGTATGCATCTATGTATGTATGTATCTATCGATCTATGTATATATGTATGTATGTATGTATGTATGTATGTATCTATCTATCTATCTATCTATCTATCTACTGAAGAGTTGATGGAGATTCCAAAATCATCTGGAGACTGTGGTTGAAGCCAATGGTGATTTTATTGAATAAATAAATTCTCTTTAGTATTTGAAACTATTTTTGTGTTAAATCTATGTTAAAATCAAATATCAGTGTTATTTTCATTTCCTCTACTCCTTTCGTAAAGTCTACGATATATATATATATATATATATATATATATATATATATATATATATATATATATATATATATATATATAAAATAAAAAAAGAAAGAAAGAAAAAAAAAAAGAACAGTAAGATATGTAATCCGGTGTTCTTATTGATATTTTTTTTTATTTTTACAAAACAGTGCTTAATGTAAATTTACAGAGCATAAATATTATAAATTAACTGATTTAAAATATGGTTTTCTTCGCTACACAATAATAACTATGTTTCAAAAACTGAAACTAAAAACTTTAAATTTAATTATATAATTAAATTAAAAGCATTAGTTCTGTTTCATCTTCAAGCGAATTTTGGAATAACTTGGTTTTTAAATTTACTGAGTTTTAAACGCACATATAAATTCATAATTTCCTGTTTCCAAGGATACAGAGGAATCCAATCATTCAGACAGAGGCAGTAGCGTGTTCATTTTTATTAACTATTGTTGTATCAATTATGAGTTACGTTCGAAAAAGAGGTTAAGTTTAAGGAGGGTAGGGATGTATTTTTCAACGAATTCTGACATCCGTTAAACGCATGTCGTCTGTTTTTCGGCATATTTTTCGTACTTGTATACTTAAAGATTCTTTCTAAAGGGGGTGTTTGGGTTAGAATACGTTATATTTAACTACAATTTTAAAATATTATTTTTACTCTTAATTACTAATAGACTATATCTCTTTTTAAAATCAAGTTAATATAATAGAATTACTTAAATTATTTTAAATTATTTCTTCATATTAAATATAAGTATGTATATTACCAGCTCCCATTTTTTTTTAAATATTATTTAAGGAAAATCTTTGACAATGACGGCAAAAATAGCTATTTCATTTCATTGATTCAGTAAATTTTTTATTTTTATAAATATAGTAATATATAGTTTGGCAAGTATGCAAAAACCACATGGGTCATTTAATGACCTAGATATTAGAGATTTTCTTATTAATGTCCATTTTAATGTATGAAAATCAAATCCTAAACAGGAACAAAGAGATAAACCGCTACTCCTTGCGTACAAATTACATATATATATATATATATATATATATATATATATATATATATATATATATATATCGTTTATGTATATATATATATGTATATATCGTGTACTATACACGTATATATATATATATATATATATATATATATATATATATATATATATATATATTGAACAATAAAAATATATTAAAAAATTAAAAACTTCAGACACACTGGGTTGGAGATTAATATTCTTTCGTTTTTAATATTATTTCATTTATATATATATATATATATATATATATATATATATATATATATATATATATATATATATATAAAGGCCTAAACACTAATAAGCATGGAATATTAGTGTTTAAGCCTTTTATTATACTATACTCTGTCCTGGATATTGAGTTCTCCCTGATTCTATCCCCTTGGAATTTTTTTATTCAAAAAACATATATGTATGTGTATGCATGTATGTATATATTTTTGTATATTTTGCATATGTATGTGCAAATTTACCCCAACATTATATATATATATATATATATATACACACACACATCGTGTACTTTGTACGCAAGGAGTATATATATCGATTTCAACTATATATTCTAACGTCTCCACCTAAACTCTGAAATTTATACTATTCTTGGTTTTCCGGTTCCTTCTAAAGTGTTTTCATTCTCTTCCTTTTCCCTCTAAGTGCAGATATTGCCTTGCTTGGAATGAATTGATTAATATATATATATATATATATATATATATATATATATATATATATATATATATATATAAAAAAACTTAAACACTAATCTTCCATGGTCATAATTTATTCCATTGGAATCGTAAATACGATCCTGGATCGTATTTACATTCAATGGAATAAATTATTTCCATGAAATATTAGTGTTTAAGCCTTTTATTATATCCTTACTCTGTCCTGGACATTGAGTTCTACCTGGATTCTATCCTCTTAGAATTTTTTTATTCAAAAACATATATGTATGTGTATGCACGTATGTATATGTATTTATATATTTTGCATATGTATGTGTATATTTACCACTAATATTATCTATCAAATCTATATCTATATATATATTCATCTATCTATCTATCTATATATATATATATATATATATATATATATATATATATATATATATACACACATATATGTATACTGTGCTACATTTGCTATTTATGCAACTTGTAGGGTAATGAGACAGCGACGCTGGCTGTGGAGACCTTTCTCGATTGAAATCAACCCCCAGGACGGAGTGTTCTTTCGATTGAATTCAACGGCCGTGACTAAGGCAAGCGTTCAAATTGGAAGACATCGGCTCCCTCTTTTTGTACATGCCCAAGACACGTTACGCATGAATAAATGCACATGCGGTTTCGAATATTTAGATGCTCACCTGCGCAGCGACATTAGGAGCACACCTGATTATGGGAGTGAATATTAGGGTGATAATGAAGTGTAGCAATAAGATTTAGCTGAGATCTTGTTGAAGTGAAAACAGCGGGACCTATCGCCAAAAAATGGATACAGAACATTTAGTTTCGACCTATGGTTATCAGTAAGGGAAATCAATATTCAAGTACAGAGTAAGAGGCTCAGACTGACAAAAAGTTTCGGAAAGAAGATAAATTACTTTTTTAGACAAAGATGGGAAGACAAAGAAAAGTCCATCTATAAAGTTGTCCATCCCGCGAAAAGGCAAACAGATGGAATGAAGCGGGTGACAGAAAATGAACAGGGTAGACAGCCTCTGAACTGTTCACCTCTCCCCTCACTTACGCATCATCTTCGCTCGATTATAGCAGTAGGTCATAACCCAATAATAAAATCTGGTTTACTGCTAGAAATTGTTTTGTCTTTCACTCGTGGGGAATGATCTGGCCGAAGGGTAATTTTTAAGCCA